AGGGAAGTACCCACCTACGAGCAAAGAATGGCGGCCCTGTTGGACCGTATTCGTGCGAAGGAAGCCAGACAAGCTGGCTAGTCACTCTGATTTGATCAGACCTTAGTGCTGTGCACTCCCCCTTTCGAGGGCATTCCATTCCATTCCATTCCTCCTCCTCCTCCTCCTCCTCCTGCCCCTCCCTGGCGGCGAGCGCGGGGGGGAAGTGAGAAGGAAAAGGCCCTCTCAGAAAGAGGCGGGGTTTCTCAGGAGCCCTCTGGCCTTCTGCGAGGATTTCTGTGTCGTCGGAAAAGGATTCGAAAACTTCTCGGAAGGCCAGAGGACTTCCGAGCCTTCTGAGAAGGCAGCCCTCTCTCTCTTGCCCCCCGGCCGCGCCGCCGAATCAGGAGAGGGCGGACCTGACGAGACTGTTGTTCCGTAGACGCTTTTGTGGCCCGTGGCCCACCCGAGGCCGGTGCTCCGCCTAGGGCACTGCCCTCGGCATCCACTTATAGCCACACCTGGAGGAGGCCACTGTTCCGGAGACGCCCACGTCCGACCCTGCGCTTTCGTGGCCCGTGCCCCACCCGAAGCTGGCGCTCAGCCTGGGGCACTGCCCTCGGTATCCACCTAGAGCCATCCCTGGGCCGCCCGCAACTTCCAAACCAGCGAGCGCACCGCCGCGGTCCAAGCTGAGCCGCTGTCACGGGCTGGAGCAGCGGAGCAGAGGCGAGGATCGGCAGCAGCGGGGCAGAGGAGCATGTTTTGGGACGCAAACCGCTGCAGGGCGCCTGGGGCCTGAGTGCAAGGAAGGCTGCAAGGCGCTGGGAGGAGGAGGAGGAGGAGGAGGAGGAGGAGGAAGAGGAAAAGGAAGAGGAGGAGGAGGAGGAGGAGGAGGGAGAGGAGGAGGAGGAGGAGGACTCGTGTAAACCGAAGAGTCATCAACGATGTTGGCATAAACCATCCCTCCAAGCTCCCTCGTCATAGGCCCCATACAAGGGTTCAGTTCCACTGAAGGAACTGCCTCGTTGGCGGACAACCGTTTGAAGACCCTAGAGCATTCCAAAACATCATTTTCGGGACCTTAACGCCACGGACAAACCTGACTATTGCGTATTGACGATCCTGAATCGCACCAGAACGCCATTCCTGGGACTCCAACGCCGCGAGGAGTCAACGTAACATCCTCGTAATGTTGAAGCCTTCCAAAACACAATTTTTAGTACCCTGAAGCTCTTGCAACATTCTAAAACGAATGCACGCAATGCTAAGGCGAGAGCCATATTTCGAAAACCATCCGCCCTCAATCCGTGAAACTCTTGCAAATTGTTACAACGATTGTGCGCGGCGCTAAGGCGAGAGCCACATTTTGAAAAGGGCCCGCCTTTAATCTGTATTCTTGCACACTGTTACAACGAATGTGCACGGCGCTGAGGCGAGAGCCACATTTTGAAAACGACCCGCCCCTTCATCCGTGAAACTCTTCAAATGTTTAAAACGAGTGCGCGCGGCGCTAAGGCGAGAGCCACATTTTGAAAACGACCCGCCTTCCATCTGTGAAACTGTGGCCATGTTTTCAGCGTCAGGGTCATAAATGGTGAGGAAGTCTCAGGCGAAACGCCCGGCCCGCCCTGAAAACTGGCCTCGGAATGCGACAGGGAAAAGTTGCTTATAAGGAAAAGGAATGGAGGAGGAGAAGGAGGAGGAGGAAGAGGAGCTGTAAATTTGTCCTCCCGTCCCCGCGAGGGAAAGCCACGGCCGGAAAAGAGAGACAGGGCGGCGCAGTGCGAGCACGAGTGGAGGGGAGCAGAGGAGCGGAGTTGCCGAGGAGCCGGGGCGAGGATCAACGGGGAGTGCTGTGAAAGAGGAGGGGGGGTAAGGGGGGCAGAATGAGGGGGAGTTTGGCGGCGCGCACATGGGGGGTAGGGGGAGGGGGGAAGGCCTCTTAGAAGGAGGCTGCTTGAGTGCGGGGAGGGCATTATCACTTCGAGCGCGAATGCGTGCATGCAAAAAACTCAACGGTGATCAAGCAGCGCTTGCACTGCGCCCGAAGAGTCCCTCGAAGCCCTCACGGCCTTGAGTCGAACCCAACGGGAAAAAAACTCAGAGCCGTGGCGCGGATTACGGCGAAGCCGGTGAACTCCAATCGTGGATCGGCCATGGATACCATCGCCGAAATCAGCAGGGTAAGGAGTCCTCTTGGGTCTGAAGCCTCCTGAACACATTCCTGAACCCACGCCCCAGAAGTACCAGACCAAACCCAAGATGTGTCAACGGTGCTGCAGCTTACCCTCCCGTTCCATGTCCTCTCGCTCCTCCTCCTCCTCCTTCTCCTCCCGCCCTGAGCTCTACATCACCCTTGCAACTCTTAGGCGCCCCGACATGGCACGTCACAAAATCCAAATAACCCCTAAGCGAGGGCCCCAAATTGAAAAAAATCCACCATGCATCTGTGCAACTGTTGCACATGTTGGCTTCGAGAGTCGCACGGCGACGATGAGTCCAACTCCATCCGTCCACGCTGCACATGACAAACGGCGCGAAAAAGTAAAATACACGTTAAAGACCGTCTACAGACAACGCAACGCTTTAGCAAGCACAACAAAGCAATGAAATGCAATGCTAAGCAATGCAGTACAATGCAATGCAAAGCGTTTGAGAGCAATGCGAATGCAATGTAGTAAAACGTAACGCAGCATGACGCAACATACAGTTACGCAAATCCGCTGCAGTGAAATAAAACGCAACTGAAGGTCATGGAAAGCAGTTCACATCACACGCAAGTACACGTGACGTATTGCACAACAGCCAAAACATCCACGACGCCGAATGCCTTCGGTAGCAATGCAGAAGTAAGGAAAAACTGCGCAACCTACATAGCAAGCAATGCAGAGCATCGCATGTCCAATGAACATGCACTTCACCAGCAACGCACAAGCCTTGCACACACGATAATAAAGCAACGCGACAGCACGGCAACATCAACGCAGAAGCCACGCAGCATACGCGCCCAAGGAGTTCCATGGAAACGCAAGGGCAACGCGGCATCAATGCAACATCACATGGAAATAAATTGACGAGCAATGCGAAATGCCATGACGTGCCAGGCTTTGCTGCGTGGTCTCCAATGCGACATGCCGTGATACGCCGTGGAACCCTGCGCTGTGACACATTACGTCGTGCTGCGCCGTGGCTGCGCTGCTCTGCTGTGCTATATGCTTGATGCTCTGCAGGTGCATGTGTTGTGCTGTGCACTGTTACGCTGTGGCGCATATGCCATGCGATGCCGTGCCATACGTTACACGAGGGTCCAGGGCCCCCGGGGGGCAGTGGCGAGGGCCGCGCGAGGCGGGCCAAGACAACCGGCCCTCTGGACAGAACAAGTGGGGACCCGCTGGGCACGGCCGAACTGAGGGAGCTTGACATTCCTGGTCATGCATTCGTTCGTTCATGCCAGCGGAAACGCGCGTCGATGCCGCGCGCCCCAAACACCTCGCGGCCCACCAACGTGCGGCCCGCTCACACCTTGGAGGTGGGTGGAGAACCCCCACTGGCCACGACGAACGGAGGGGCAGCCCTCCTCGCTCCTCTGTTTTTGGGCGGTCGCCCAGGCGCACCGAGCACGCCCTGCGCGAAGCCGCTGGCCGACGACGACCTCCCGTCGCCCGACAGCAGGCACGCCAAGCAAGAAGCGGGCCTCCAGCGTGGGGAATCCTCGAGCGAGAGCCCCATGCTGAAAAGGAGCCGCCCTCCACCGCGCAGCAGCTGCAGCTGTGCAAACGGCTGTGCGCGGCGCTCGGGCGAGGGCCGTTCTGAACAGTGTCCCGCTCGCACTGCGCCCGCCCGTCCGTGCAGTTGTTGCGGAGCTCAGGCTTCGGAATCGGAAGGTGCGAGAACGTCTCAAGTCAATCGCCGAGCCAGCTCTACCGACACGCCTGGTGGTGCGCCGAGGAGGAGGAGGAGGAGGAGGAGGAGGAGGAGGAGGAGGAGGAGGAGGAGGAGGAGGAGTAGGGCAGAGGGGTACAGTGTCAGAGAGGCAGAGGAGCTGAGCGGCACAAGAGCAGGAGGCAGAGCGCGACGCAGGGGCGGAAGAGCCGAAGGGAAGATACAGTGAGGGTATTTGTTTGCCGACACAACCATGAAGGAACTACAAGTCGAGGGAGAGGAAGATGGAAAAAAAGAGAGAGAAAGAGAGAGAGAGAGAGAGAGAGAAAACAAAAAAAAGAGAAAGAAAGAGCCATGCAGGCAAGAGCCCCTGAGAGCGCCGTTGGCTGCTCAGGGCCCCAGGCGGCCTGCGTCCTCAGCATACTGCAGCAGACGCTGCAGCTCATCTGCGAAGGCAGCCGACGCAAAGCCAAGAGGCCCCAGAACCAAGGGATAAGGAATCCAGGGTCTGCCAGCGGAACTCAAATACTGCACTGGCCATGGATAGCACTGCCGCCCTCATCAGATAGGGAATCTCCCAGAGTCTGAAGCCTCCTGGGCGCATTCCTGAACCAAGGCCTGAGGTGGCAGAAAGGGGGAGCAATTGTTCCCCCAGACAGGAGAAGCGAACTCGTTGCAGCTCGCGTGGCGTCCGCCGCTGGCGCGCGGGGCGCCCAGTGTACGCATCGAACGAGGCCGACGTACTCACAATCAATGGAAGACCTCTCAGTCCCTGCAGATGGCAGCAGTGGTCATTGCACCGGCCTTGCAGACGTGCTGCAGCGAATTTCTGCGTGGATTTCTGTGTGGAGTTTTGCCCGAAACGGCGAGCGAAAAACGAAGTGAATGTCGCGTGGCTTCTTTCTGGTCTTCATTCCTGGCCAGAAAAACACGGAATTTACCTCGAAATCCGGAACGAAATTCTCCAGGACACTCCAGGCCCACCCGATCGTTTTCCGAACGAAATCCGCTCTGCCAGGTTGGCGCCGTGACAGTGGGCAGAAGCGCAGATGCAGCAGCCAGCAAACCGGCAGAGGAAGGAGAGGACGGAAGGACGCACCCGGGGAGCGGAGCGAGCAGGAGGGGGCGGCGCCGTCCTTCTGCAGGCGCTCGAGCTCCTGGTCCCGCGCCTCGGACTCCTCCTCGAGCTTCCGCAGCTCGGTTCGCTGCTCAGCGTGGCCGTCCCTCGAGGCAGCGGGCATGCATGCAAACAGATGCGCACATGCATTCATACTCCTATGGGTGAGTGCATCGATAGAAAAAAAATCTAGACACGCACGTTCGATACTCGAAGGCGAGGCCCTTCCTGTACCCACGTGTTCATACATACTCCTACTCCTCCTCCTCCTCCTCCTCCTCCTCCTCCTCCTACTCTGCCCTCCTCCTCCTCCTCCTCCTCTGCCCTCCTCCTCCTCATCATCATCCTCCTCCTCCTCCTCCTCCTCCTCTGCCCTCCTCCTCCTCCTCTGCCCTCCTCCTCCTCCTCCTCCTCCTCCTCCTCCTCCTCCTCTTCCTCCTCCTCCTCCTCCTCCTCTTTCTCCTCCTCCTCCTCTTCCTCCTCCTCCTCCTCCTCCTCCTCCACCTCCTCCTCGATCCACTCGATCAGGTCCGAGCCCGTCCGAGCCCCCGAACAACCTTTTCCAGGAGACGAGCGCGCGGCTGGCTCGCTGGCGGCAAGCACTCAGAGGCGGGTGTCGCCTTCGATGCGCAGCTCGTCTGGATGTTATTGCTAGGCGCTGGTCTCGGCAGCGTCTGGCCTCCATACCTCTTCACGGGGTTGGCTGTGTTTTCGGATGACTCCTCGCTCCATCCTGCCATCCGTCCCGTCCTCGTGCTCTTACCCCACTGGCTCTTGCAGGGCTGCACCACCGCCACAGCTGAAAGGCATGAGCCTTTCATACGCTACGAGCACGACAACTGGGAAATCTCGCGCTTATGGATTATCATATCCCTTCAACGTTTCTGAAAGACTGCACAGCTGGAAATATGGTGCTTCCAGCTTGCACATGTACGGCAGCTGCTTCGGGACGCTGCCAGCCAAGCTGGACGATCTCACAAACGTATGGAACACCTGAAACACACACACACACACCGAATACATATTGACGATGCAGCTGGGCCGTCCCAACAACAATATCTGAAGCACGCGTGGACGACGAAAAAAAATATCCTGGCGACGTACGCAACCCCTGCGCAATCGCGAGGCGCAAATAGTTGAGGACACTTTATAAGGGGGGCGGAGACGGAGCGAAGGTTACATATGTCTGCAGACAGAATTCAGGAGACTCGCAGGACACTGGCTTCAGGACAAGGACTAGATAATGGTGATTAGTTGCAATCCCTGAGCAACCCTAGCCACTTCGAAAGCAGGGATCTCAGATTGCAGCCCCCCAGGGGTGGCGAGGTCTAATTTGGGTCCGCGCGTGGCCCTCACTGTGCAGGGCCCCCCAGCAGGCCTCGAAAGTGGCGACAGTTTCACAGATCGCAGCCCCCCCAGGGATGGCGAGGTCTAATTTGAATCTGCGCGTCGCCCTCACTGTGCTGGGCCCCCCAGCAGGCCTCGAAAATGGCGACAGTTTCACAGATCGCAGCCCCCCAGGGATGGCGAGGTCTAATTTGAATCTGCGCGTCGCCCTCACTGTGCTGGGCCCCCCAGCAGGCCTCGAAAATGGCGACAGTTCGCAGCCCCCCAGGGTGGCAGGGACTGTGCATCGAAAGTGGCGACAGTTTCACAGATCGCAGCCCCCCAGGGATGGCGAGGTCTAATTTGAATCTGCGCGTCGCCCTCACTGTGCTGGGCCCCCCAGCAGGCCTCGAAAGTGGCGACAGTTTCACAGATCGCAGCCCCCCAGGGATGGCGAGGTCTAATTTGAATCTGCGCGTCGCCCTCACTGTGCTGGCCCCCCAGCAGGCCTCGAAAATGGCGACAGTTTCACAGATCGCAGCCCCCCAGGGATGGCGAGGTCTAATTTGAATCTGCGCGTCGCCCTCACTGTGCTGGGCCCCCCAGCAGGCCTCGAAAGTGGCGACAGTTTCACAGATCGCAGCCCCCCAGGGATGGCGAGGTCTAATTTGAATCCGCGCGTGCCCTCACTGTGCTGGGCCCCCCAGCAGGCCTCGAAAATGGCGACAGTTTCACAGATCGCAGCCCCCCAGGGATGGCGAGGTCTAATTTGAATCTGCGCGTCGCCCTCACTGTGCTGAGCCCCCCAGCAGGCCTCGAAAATGGCGACAGTTTCACAGATCGCAGCCCCCCGCAGGCAAGACAGGAAGAGGCAGGGAGGGAGGGAGGAGGAAGGAAGGAAGGAGTGGAGACCACACTGCTCTATTCAAAACGAATACCCAACCAAGGAGGGTTGGGAATGAAGACAAGCAAACAAAACGGAAGACCCCCCCCCAAAAAAAAGGCGCCCGCACAGGGTATCGCAAATGCCAACCTGCAACAACTATTCGGCCTCCCGTGCCTCGGATCTCGGTCTCTGTGTCTCTCGTTCTCGCCCTACCTCTCTCTCTCTCTGTGTCCGCCTCTTGTCGGTCAGAAAGAAAGGACAGACACAAACACATAAACAAAGGGGGAGGGAGAGAGAGAGAGAGAGGGCGCGCGAGAGAGAGAGAGAGAGAAAGAGAGAGGGAGAGAGAGAGAGGGACGCCCCGAGAGAGAGAGAGAGAGAGAGAGAAACAAAAACAAAAAAAGAGCGGGCACGGAGAGAGGGATAAGGAGACAGAGAACAGAGAGAGACAGAGAGAGAGAGAGAGGAAATCGCTTGTATCCGCCACCGTGCCTCCGGGCACGGAGCGGGGCGTGTCCCCGGGTCCTTCTGCCGAATCCGTGGAGCCTCGGTCCGCCGTCCCGGGGGGTCTCTGCGGGGCCCGAAGCCCGAATTCCCAAATCTCCCGAGCCTTGGCGCGGTTCCCCTCTGTAAGAACGGTTTTTTGGAAGGCAGATCTGCCCTCAAAAAACCGTTCTTACGTTGAAGGCAGAGCTGCCTTCAAAAAACCGTTCTTTTGAAGGCAGATCTGCCTTCAAAAAACCGTTCTTACAGAGTGGACCAGTCTTGGCTCCCCCGCGTCTCGTCGCATGACTTCTGCTGTCCCGATAGGGCCCCCACACGAGCCAAGAGGGTTCCAAGAGGCCGCCAAGACAGCCCAAGGGGGCCCCGCATCGCCGGAAGATCGCTCCAACACGCCCAAGATGGTCTCAAGATGGCCGAAGGAGCCTCCAAGACGCCTCGAAGACGCTCCAAGAGGTCCCAAGATGCAAAAATCACTGATTGTCCTCGAGTTTCGGCCCAAGAGGCCCCCACGACCACCCGAAACTGGCCAAAGAGGCCTCCAGGAGGGCCCCGAGACGGCCTGAGAGCGCTGCAAGACGGCCCAAGAGGCGCCCAGGACGGCCCAAGAGGATCCCAAGACGCCCCCAAAAGGGGCCCAAGAGGGGGAACACGAACCGAAAATCCGAGCCTTCCGCCCCAAGAGGCCCCCAGGAGGCCCCAAGGGGCGCGCAGGAGGCCTCCAAGAGGCCCCCAAGAGGCCCCCAAGAGGCCCCCAAGAGGCCCCCAAGAGGCCCCCGAGAGGCCCCCAGGAGGCCCCCAAGAGGCCCCCAAGAGGCCCCCAAGAGGCCCCCAAGAGGCCCCCAGGAGGCCCCCAAGAGACCCCCAAGAGGCCCCCAAGAGGCCCAAAAGAGGCCCCAAGAGGCCCCAAAACGACCCCCAAGAGGCCCCCAAAATGGCTCCAAGAGGCTCTCGAGAGGTCTCCCATCCCAACGAACATCCGATAGTCTTCAGACCCACCTTCAGACCCACAACCCAGGCACGTTGGCGGGATGGGCCGAAGGCCGAATACAATTATGTACATATATACACACATACACATATGGACGATACAGACATAGAGGGAGGAGAGAGAGGGAAAGAGGGAGAGAGAGAGAGAGAGACAGGGGTAGAAGAACTCGAACAAACCGAAAAACGCGAGCACGCCTCCCACCCCCCTCGTGAGAGTTGCTGGGGTGATGCTCAGGTGGGCGTTCGCGCCGCCCGATCCCCCCGAATGTCCCAGCCCGCACGCACCTGCCTCGCCCGCGCCCGACAGAAAGACTGCCCCGGCCCCGGCCCCAGCGCGCCCGCCTTCGGGGGGAAGGGGGAGGCTGCGTGCGTCGCACAAGCAGGAGGAGGAGCGGGAGGAGGGGTAGCAGGAGCACCAAGCAGAGGAAACGGAGGATCAGGAGGAGCAGGAGGATCAGGAGGACGAGGAGGACAAGGAGGAGGACGAGGGGGACGAGGAGGAAGAGAAGGACGAGGAGGTCGAGAAGGACGAGGAGGACCAGGATCAGGATGGGGGGCAGGACGAGGAGGATCAGGAGGAGCAGCGGCAACACCAGCAAAAAGAGGTCAGTCGAGGAGGCGTCTCGACAGAACCCCGCGAGCGGCGAGAACGCCGGAGGTGGCCGCTGGAGCCTCTTGCTCTCGAGCACGTCTTGCGTCTGGCCGGCGCGGGGAGCGTAGGTCGTAGTCCTCCTCTTCCTCCTCCTCGCCAGCATGTTACACCATCACCATCAGCAGCAGCATCATCACCACCAACAACAACATCATAATAAACATCAGCATCGGCATTATAATCATCAGTCGCATCATCATCATCATCGTCATCATCCTACTTATCAGCATCCACATCACCAACAACAAACACAACAACAACCAACAACAACAATAACAACAAACAACAACAAACAACAGCAGCAACAACCAGGATAACAACAACAATAATAACAACAGCATCAATAACAACAACTGCCGCAATAACAACATAACAGCAGCAACAACGACGGCAGCAGTAACAACGACAAACAAACAAAAGTAACAACAACAACGACAACAACAACAACAACAATAGTATCAACTGCTCACTCCTATCTGCTCGGGTGTGATTTCAAAACGTAGGTCCCAAACCCTCGGTACCAGCCCTCTTCGTTTCCGATCGTACCCCCTTGGGGCATGGCCAAGTCGAGCAGGCGGGACGCTGAAGCGTGAGGTCTGCATGAATCGCGAGGACGCTTCGAGCGATTGCGCGACTCCCAATGAAATCGTGAGAAAGGCCAAAGCGAGAGCATGATTCCTGAGTGTCGAGGGCGCGGCGTCTGAATAAACTGCGCGGAGGCCCGCGCGAGAGCGCAATTCCTGCATAAATTGTGAGGATGTCCCTCGCG